ACAAAATCCACAGAGACTAGCTATGCTTACAGTTACCCCTTTTTTTTTATTGTACTTCAGGTGAAGGCTTACAGAACAAATAGTTTCTCATGAAACAGTAGTACACATATTGTTTTATGACATTGGTTAACAACCCCACAACATGTCAACCCTCTAACTTCTCAACCTTTTTTTTTTTTGGTGAAAATACACATAGCCAAAGATACACCATTTCAAAAATTTCTACATGCACAGTTCAGTGACATTGACTGCGCTCTTCCAATTGTGCTGCTATTCTCACTTAAGATGAAGGCTTACAGAACAAAATAGTTTCTCATTTAACAGTTACTACACATGTTGCCCTATGACAATGGTTAACAATCTCACAACAAGTTACCCATTTTTTATAACCAGAAAGAATACAAAATGAAGACACACATCAAGGGAGGTTTGGGATGAGTCCCAGCACAGGGCTTCCATTGTCCCCAGGGATGCGCCACCCTCCCAAAAGCAGATGTTCTTGCCAATCCAGGAAGTCCATCAAACTTTCTGTTTGGAGTTTTTTTTTTTTTTTTTTGGCTTGATTGTGTAGTCAAGATCGATTAAATCATTGAATATACATGATGGATTGCATCATGCCTGCCTCCCTTCCTGAGGATAGTTGTCAGGTGTAGCTCCCACTCATTTGCCCATGCTTAAGCGTTGTTTTAGAAAACAAAGACACCTTGATTTCAGGGGAATTTCAGGGGCTATCTTTTTCGAACCAAAGACAAAGGCCTGATTGAATTCTTTGTATCTTAGACTTCTGAGTTATTTAGGAGTGTGTTTTTAATTTTAACATAGTTGTGAATTTTCCAAACTTCCTTGTGTTATTGGTTTCTAATTTCATCCCATTGTTGTCGGAAAACATGTTTTTTTATTATTTCAATCTTGTCGCTTGTGTTTTAGATTAGCATCTGGTGTATCCTAGAGAATATTCCTGTGTCCTTGAGAAGAATGCATATTCTAATGTTGTTAGGTGGAGTATTTTATAGATGTCTGTTAGGTGTAGTTGTTTTATAGTGTTCTGCTGGTCTACATGAATGTTATATGTTATGAAAGCAAGAAGTTCGGGAAAGGGAAGAAATTGGTATAAATAATGAAAAGGAGAATGAATGCAATTCCTTTTCCTTTACTGTCTGCCATTCCTTAAAAATATTATAAATGCTGAAAATCGTAGTGTTTGTGGTTTCTGAAGTGTTAAGATAATTCTAAAAGAGATGTGATTAATAGCTCTACCTCACATGGCTTAAGTAAAATTTAAGAAATCATGGTACGTATTAAAGGACAATGTAGTGAATATTTTTATTTGATTTCCCCAAGTGAAACAAGGCACAGACGAGGAATTCTGGGCTTTCCTTTTTCTGCTGCTGGGTAAAGAGGCCAGAGAAAAGCAGTTGTTTTCCAGAAGTGGAGCCAGTTTTGTGTTCTCTTTGCTGATGAAATCTGGAAGGTTGGGAAGTGTGTTCATGCTTCTCTCTCACTTACGTGACTCAGATTTAGAGTGGAAAATGTGGTTCTAAAGTGCAGAAATTTTGAGAAGCCGTGTTAACCTTGTTTTCCATCCCCAATCTCTGTAAAACCTTTATTATTATTACTTTCAATGATGTGTTCCAAGGTTCAAGGGTCTAAATATTGAAAATGAAGTACTTCCAGAAATGGGATATAGACAAGTAGATAATAAAATTCTTGGCAGTTTAATCTGTTCCAGCTTAATGCCTGAACGTATTTCATTGTGTTTGTGCTTTTCAGTTGAAAGAAATAGGTGCTGTTGCTCGCCTTGTGACACATTCCCTTAGCCTAAGAGCAAAAACTCAGGCTCAGTAAGCCTGTATATCTGACAGATGTAAAGGTGGAGGGTAATAAAACTGGAGAGCAAAAAAAAAGAAATAGGAAAGTAGAAGAAAAAATTACTGACAATCTTGAGCTTTCCTAGATGATGGTCTAATGAGTTAGCTTATTTGTTGAGAACAAAAAAAAATCAAACCTGTTGCCGTCAAGTCGATTCCGACTTATAGTGACCCTATGGGACAGAGTAGAACCGCCCCATAGGGTTTCCAAGGAGCAACTGGTGGATTCAAACTGTTGACCTTTTTTGGTTAGCAGCCAAGCTTGTAACCACTGTGCCACCAGGACTCCTTGGTGAGAACATTGCCCTTCAAACTTTAAAGAGCAGTTGAATGCTCTTAGGATTATATTAAAATGAAGGTTCTGATTCAGTAGATCTGAGGTGGGGCCTGAGAATTTGCATTTCCATTAACCTTCCATGTGATGCTGCTGCTGTCGGTCTGAAAACTATTCTTAGGGTAGCAGGAGTCTAGATGGGATCACCATGAGTTAGAATTGAGTCCATAGCAACTGGTAGAGTCTGTCTGGACCTCTTGGTAAATGTCATATTTTTAAAATTTCAATAAAGGTAATTTGTTAATAGTGTAGCAAAATATGATTTAATTTTTATGCCATTGTTAGACATTTATATAATAAAATTCAAAATGATTAGCCAAAAATAAAATTACATGTCTGGTCACACTACCCTGAATTTTTTTTTTTATTGTGCTTTAGGTGAAAGTTTACAGCTCAAGTTAGTTTCTCATACACAAATTTATACACACATTGTTATGTGACCCTAGTTGCTATCCTTATAATGTGACCACATACTCCTGCTTTCCACCCCGGATTTCCCGTGTCCATTCAACTAGCTCTGTTTTCTTTTTTTTAATTAATTAATTTTTTATTGTTGTAGTTTAAATGAAGTTTACATTTCAAGTTAGTCTCTTATACAAAAATTTATACATACATTGTTATGTGACCCTAATTGCTCTCCCCATACTGTGACAGCACACTCCTCCCTTCCACCCCTGATTCCCCATGTCCATTCAACCAGCTCCTAACCCTCTCTGCCTTCCCATCTCACCTCCGGACAGAAGCTGCCTGTTTAGTCTCTTGTATCTACTTAAGCTAAGAGGCACACTCCTCACAAGTATCACTTTATGTCCAAAGTCCAGTCCAATCCCTGTCTGAAGAGTTGGCCCCAGAAATTCTTTTAGTTCTGGGCTGATAGACAAGCCAGGGGCCATGCTTTCTGGTTCATCAAGTCTCAGTCAGACCATTAATTCTGGTCTTCATACTAGAATTTGAGTTCTGCATCCCACCTTTCTCCTGCTCCATTCGGAACTCTCTGTTGTGTTCCCTGTCAGGGTGGTCATTGGTGGTAGCCAGGCACCATCTAGTTCTTCTGGTCTCAGGCTGATGAAGTCTCTGGTTTGTGTGGCCCTTTCTGTCTCTTGGGCTAATAATACTTTCCTTGTGTCTTTGGTGTTCTTCATTCTCCTTTACTCCAAGTGTCAACCAGCTCTTATCCCTTTCTGCCTTGTCATCTCACCTTGGGACAGAAGCTGCCCAATTTGTCTTGTGTATCTACTTGAACTAAGAAGCACACTCTTCACGAGTATCATTTTATGTCTTATAGTCCAGTCTAATCTTTGTCAGAAGAGTTGGCTTCGGGAATGGTTTTAGTTCTGGGATAACAGAGAGTCCAGGGGCCGTGTCTTCCCAGGTTCCTCCAGTCTCAGTCAGACCACTAAGTCTGGTCTTTTTATAGAATTTGAGTTCTGCATCCTACCTTTCTCCCACTCCGTCAGGGACTCTCTGTTGTGTTCCCTGTCAGGGTGGTTATTGGTGGTAGCCGGGCACCATGTAGTTCTGGTCTCAGGCTGATGAAGTGTCTGGTTTATGTGGCCCCTTTTGTCTCTTGAGCTAATATTTTCCTTGTATCTTTGGTGTTCTTCATTCTCCTTTGCTCCAGGTGGGTTGGGACCAATTGATGCACCTTAGATGGCTGTTCACTAGCTTTTAAGACCCCAGACACCACTCACCAAAGTGGAATGCAGAACATTTTCTTAATAAACTTTGTTATGCCAACTGACCTAGATGTCCCCTGAAACCATGGTCCCCAGACCTCCGCCCCTGATACACTGTTCCACGAAGTGTTTGGTTGTGTTCAGGAAACTTCTTAGCTTTTGGTTTAGTCCAGTTGTGCTGAGTTCCCAAGTGTTGTGTGTGGTCCTTCCCTTCCCTAACATAATTCTTGTCTACTATCTAGTTAGTGAATTCCCCTCTCCCTCCCTCCCCACCCTCATAACCATCAGAGAATGTTTTCTGTGTTTAAACCGTTTCTTTAGTTCTTATAATAGTGGTCTCATACAATATTTGTCCTTTTACGACTAATTTCACTCAACATAATGCCTTCCAGATTCATCCATGTTATGAGATGTGTCGCGGATTCATCATTGTTCTTTATCATTGCGTAGTATTCCATTCTGAATACCACCCTGAATTTTTCATTCATTGCTTCTGTAAGTTAGGTCCCTTGGTCATTCCTCTGTGAACAGGTTAATTTAGTTTTGTTACCCAGCAAATGACAATATCCTAACCCAGGCTACCATCTGGTTCATGTGTAAAATGTCACTTTTGTTTTCATGGAAAAGTCCCTAGAGTGACATTCTAGTTCCAGCTTTGCAGTTAGCTCTGTGACTTAGAGTTTCACATCTATAAAATGGAACTAATTGTTTCTTTGTAGAGTGATTGTGAGTATTTCTTTGGTGAGAGGTGAGAAAACAACTCATCCATAGCCCATAATGGGTGCTCAATAAATGCTTAATGACTCTCTTAAGAGTGCAAACGAGTAGCATTAGGTCTTCCAGGTTTTTGGGTAGAACAAATCAGAGAAGAAAAGTTTTTGGAGAAACCATGGCCCATAACTTAAAAGAAGCTGTCCTCTCCTTCCTTTTTAATGTGTGGTTTTAGTTGCTGAAACTTTCTTCTACTGAAAGTCTGATCTTTTATTTAACTTAATAAAATGCAAGTTGCTACCTGCTAGAAGCACTTCTCTTTGCTTTTCTCTTATCTGCCCAAACAGAGATGAGGAAATCAGTCAAAGGACTGCTATGTTGACCATTTCTCCTGTTCCCCTTCCTTTGTAGGTTACTCTTCTGCTGTTCAGAAATTTTCCCAGACTCTGCAGTCATTTCAGTTTGATTTCATTGGGGACACTCTGACTGACGACGAGATTAACATCGGTAAGTCTTCCGTTCAATGTGGTTGTGTGGCTTTTGAGGCAGGCTGAGACACACAGTCGCCTTGATTTGTGGATACAGAGCACCTGGGAATCTTCATCCTCTGTGGTCCAGTGTCAAGCTCCTAGGAGGCTACGTAAAAAGGAGGCGGCAATATTCCCTGATGTTTCTGCTTCCTCCTCAGATCAAAACAATGAAAAGATATCCCTTAACTCTCTACTGAATGAAGTCTTTGACTCAATCAGTCTGCAGGGGATTGTTTCTTTAAAAAATGTCATACATGAAAAGAGATTTCTTCATAAAGAACAAAATAAGAAGTACTTTTAAAAAATATTTTTCAACATGTTTCAAAGTGAGATTCTTCTCAAGAACAGTTTCCCCTAAAATGTTTAAAATTATCATGTATGTATGTGCAACTTTTCAGGCCACAGGAGGTTTGGCATCTCCCTTGGGAAATGAATTTAACAACTTTCTCTATTAGTTGTGTGATTTTGGACAAGATATTTCCCTTCTTTGAGTCTCAGTCTTATCCTCTATAAAAATGGGGTTAATTTATCTTTCAAGGATGTTATGAGGAGATCTAGCAGTGAGGTGAAAAGAACTTTTTGTTTGTGTTAGTTATGAAGTTAAAACGGGTCCACAAACTGTGACTCCTGGGCCAAATCCAACCTGCCACCTGTTTTTATAAATAGAATTTTGTTGGAACACAGCCATGCTCTTGTTTATGTATTGTCTATGGCTGCTTTCACAGTACAAAAGCAGAGTTGAGTAGTAGTAACAGGGATCAAGGTCAGGTCCTCACTGCTCTGAGAAAAGACAGATTCCCGAAAGTTTTGCTTTAACTTGAAAAACCTAGAGATAACCTAGTAGGTTTCAGTGGAGAACCTCAAATTTTAACCCTGAATTTCAGCCTCGTCATTACCAAAGCAGTTGGCTATTGTGTGAACCCTGGTAGCATATGTTTCTCTTTGTACATGTGACTTGCCACTTCTTCCCTGGGAGGTAGCACCCATTGAGTTTTAACAGGTTGTTTGTTCATGGCTGGGGAAAGAAAAAACAGTGTTTCTAAATCTCAGACTGTAAACCAGATTTCCACTTCAGTTATCCTAGCATATCTGAAGAAACTCCTTAATGGACCAAGCAGATTGATTTGAGGAAACTTGCAGGTAAAAAGTTCCATCAGCCACCAATCACTACTTTCTGGGAGCAAAGGGCTCAGATTCAACACTGTCAGTTCCGTTTTGTTGAACATGAATATTACTCATTGCTGAACAACTCAAAAGGCAATCATAAACCTACTAAGTGTGGGGAAGCAGAGTCGAAGAATTAGTCCCTCCAGGACTCTTGTTGGAGATCAAGCATCTTGAAAGAGGGATGTCTAAAATAAATAGAAATATTAATATTAAAAAAAAAGTTTGTACTAAAGAGCCAGGAGTTGAACTCCAAGGGTAACCTGTCAAATGGATTCCAAGAGGTCTGTGGAGGAAAATCTTTTGCCTATGGAACACCACTCATGGAGTTTCTTAAAGCTCTTGAGCTAGGATGTTGATATTCTAGGTGGTGTTGTCTACAGTCTTGGTTACTTCTCATATAAGGGCATGCATGAACTTCCTTAGTGGTCCAGGTAGCAGCTTATTTAGGGAGAATTCCAGCCCCAATATATGATCTGCTTGGCAGTGATACCTTTGAGGTTTATATTGTTGCATGACTTTAACTTGCAGGGACTCTTCAGATCATGAGATAAAGGGCCAGCTGCAAGGCAACCTAGAGTATTGATAGGGATCTGGACAGTTAGGTTTTATTTCTCAGTGACCTGGAGCCAGGCAGAAGGGAGAAACTTTGGAAAAGTTAATTTGGATAGTTATAGCCAGATATTGAAGGAAACTGGAAGAATTAAAAATTTGGTAAGGATTGACAATTTAGATGAGATAACAGAATCCTGTCCAATTTACAGGTAGATGTCAAAACTGTTTTTCCGTAGGTGGGGAAGGAAGTCAGTTAAATCTCTCCCAGATAAGTATACACATCAGTTACTGAAAATTTATAAAAAGATGGAAAATAGTTCAAAGAAAATGAACAGGGATATATTCCGATAACCTGGGAGGGTGTGTTATAGACAATGCATAGTTTTCCTTTGAAACACACAATTTCTCTCTACAATAACCCCCTTTTTGATCAAAGATAATCTCAAAGAAAGATTATTCTTGATCTCAAAATAGGGCTGGTCCATTAGATTTAGCCTAATTATTTAAGTAGGTGCAGCAAGAATGGTAATTTTCCATGTAGACGTAAAGCTTGCTTTGCTGGAAATTTTCATAAAGAATTTCAGATTGGAATTTTAAAAGCCTTGAGGCTAGAAAGCCAAACTTAGAACTCCTCACCAGATTTCACCTGGAGTACCTATGAATTTGAGCTAATTCCTCTTTTCTTGAGGTACCCCCAAATATCCTAAAGTTTCTGGTCCTGACAGGAAGTGACCTTCTTTACTCATCTGTAGGGTTGAGAGCCCTCTAAGCCAGGTGTCTTAGTTATCTAGTGCTGCTACAACAGAAATACCATAAGTGAATGGCTTTAACAAAGAGAAATTTATTCTCACAGTCTAGGAGGCTGCAAGCCGAATTCAGGGTGCCAGCTCCAGGGGAAGGCTTTCTCTCTCTGTTGACTTTGGAGGAATGTCCTTATCATCAATCTTCCACAGGTCTAGGGGCCTCTCTGTGCAGGAACCCCCAGTCCAAAGGATGCACTCTACTATCAGCGCTGCTTTCTTGGTAGTATGACGTCCCCTCCGTCTCTCTGTTTGCTTCTCTTTTGTATCTCAAAAGAGATTGACTTAAGACACAACCTAATCTTGTAGATTGAGTCCTGCCTCATTAACATCATAGAGGTAGGATTGACAACACATAGAAAAATCACATCAAATGACAAAATGGTGGACAATCACACAATACTGGAAATCATGGCCTAGCCAAATTGGTACATATTTTTGGGGGACACAATTCAATCCATAACACCAGGTATCAGGCCAGTTTTACCAAGAGGTTCTTGCAAGAATTGGCTCCATAAAATTAACATTTGCTCTTTACAAGTGTCTGGTGACATCCGATTCAATATGCATCATTCTCACATACGACATTTTAGTCACGGCCTCAGATGCAAAACCAATATTTCCAATAGTCAATAAGAGTTTCTGAATCCTGGAGGGCATTTGGAAGGGAAATTAGGATATTATTTACAAATGTTTCATTTCAGTGTACAAAGTACAGTCTACTAAATTGTTATGAGTTATAGATCCCTTAAGAGAAAAGAGAAAGGCTTCCTTACATATTCAGAAAATAGAACATTAAAGCATCAACAATATTCGCAAGCAAACCCACAATCACCCCTCACCAGTTCGTTCAGTCCTATGTAATTAATCTTTTCTCGCTCAACCTTGGGTTAGCAGTCTCATGAACCCATTTGCTTCTCGACTGGAGTTCTCAAAATCCTGACTCAATTCACTGGTGTAGTCTTGAAGTTCTTTAAATGATGCCATTAGAAGTCTCCACGTGCCTGGGATAGTCCTTTTTTATAAGGTTCTGAGGAAGTCCTCCTTTGTTGAATATGAATTAGTCTGGCCTGTAGCTGATGCAAATGTTTTCAGGGAAACACCAGATAAAAACAACAACAAAAAGCTAGCTGTAGATGACAAGCAACTTAAAATGGCAGTGGTTAACTTATTACTGATAATTTTAAAAGTGAAAGATCTGATGATAGTTTATTACCAGAATAATGCAACTGACAAGGAAATTTGGTTTTCTGTGACATGAAGATAAATTTAATCAAAATATATTAGCAAAACTATCTGTAAACAATGTCTACCCCTACTTTTAAAAAAGAGTGGATATTACATCTAATTTATAACGATGGATGAACATAATCTTTACAGAGAAAAAAAAGCACTTCAGGTATGACATACAATAATCTTGACATAAAATGCCAAGAATACACTAGGAATATAGTTAGAATATATCAACAATATCAAGTAAAGAGATTCAGTAGTATTGAGTAGGTCTTAAACAATTGTACATTAATAAAACTCCATAGGTAAATGATGTAAATCCCCAGTTGGAAACCATAGATACAGAACATGTGAAATTAAAGAAGTAAAGTTGCAACTAAGTTAACATTTTAAAAAGTAACTGACATTATGATTTATAACACTATACTTATGTTGTCTAATACTAGGCAAGGCATCTCCAGGAATCTGACAAATACAAACATATCATAAATAACCAGGGCATGGATGATACTCCAGGAACTTCCTGTACAGCATACAATTGCTGAAATATGTATATTAATAGCATTTTACCCATACAAAGTTTACCTAGAGAAGGCTAAACATCTCTTCTGATTTGACAATGCTTTGCACACAACTCCCTAATAGCAACATACCAGCTAAATCTAATTATTTCTAGTATCTGTCTCTTTACAAGGTGCAAGAAGAAATGCTTTTTGTGATTTTTCAGGGGCTCTCTGGGAAATCTCAAAGACAGTTTTATGTGCAGAAGATATCATTCCATTTTGGGAAGGGAAAATATCAAAAGCTGTCAAGAGATTTGATCATTTGATCAGGCGAGGATCATGGGTTACTGAGGAAAAATACTTGGCTACCTATTTAACCAAAGTGACAATAAAATATTTTAAAAGTAAGCAGAAGAGATGACCTGATTATAAACACTTTTAGCTCTTTTGAAAGGGAGAAACCTTTGTTTTCTTAAGTAATCAAAGACATAATAAAGTCAACATGAACCCTGGAGGGTTATTCTGGTAAGATACAGAATCTTTGTTATAACCTCGTATTAAGAGCAGACTAATAATCAACAAACTTTTCGAATTTTAACAGAAAGAAAACAAAATTCTCATTTTGCATCAGTATAACATTTCATACTAAAACTCCTTTTTAGAAAAAAATCTTATAAATAAATCCGTTAAACCTTAGCCAGCTTTGACCACAGGCACTTAAA